CCAAACGAAATTAACATTTGCTGGGCTTGAAATACAAATCTAACCTTCATTTATTGATGATATTCTACGTGATAATAAAAAAATAACCCCAATCCTTAAAGAATCCTTAATGATAGTGGCACACTGAAACCAGAGAACAGTTGGAACCAAATCCAACGGCAGCAAGTCCCCAAATTAAGAAAACTTACTACTCTCTGGAATACGATACGCACTCACTCTAACATGCGATGATGAAAACAACAAAAGATATGATACATAATTGAAACAGCTAGGTGATTACGTTTTACCTTGGACGATGATAAATCAGATCAATGAGCAGGGCTTACTCAGGGGTTCTTGGAGGTAAGGGATTTCGTTTGTGCGGGGGAGTTGAAATTGGTGCGGGGATATGCTGTACTCGGCCAAAGGGTACTACAAAACGACGTCGGTGAGCACCATGCGGTGTATGGTCGTGTAATTTGGGCAGTATAGTCATTACTTACCCAAGAGTCAATGAAAACTCTACTACCAAATGTGATCAAGCGTAGTTTGAAATAGCATATACGGGTGAAATGGTTTACCATAGTTCCATTCATCATATTTTTCTAAAAAAAAAATTGTATATTTATCTTGTAAATTATGCATATTTACTAATTAGTTATGTTGTTTTGTAGAGTATGAATATATATATATATATATAGGGATTGGTTCTAATGCATCCACTTATTTAAAATGAGAACGTGAGACTCATTTTTAACCACAAGATTTGATACATCACGTGTGGCCAAGATTTACTATTTTTTTTTATTATTTTAATTATTTAAATATTATTTTGACTCATTGACTCCAGCATTGACCGTTGACTCCGGCGTTGATCGTTGACTTCCGGCGTTGACCGTTGACAACTAACCTTCCAACTAAGTTAGTTCTCTGTAGTTGCTAGGTTAGTTTTCTTTAGTTGCTAGGTTAGTTCTCTCTAGTTGCTGGGCCCCAACCTGTGCATAGATCAAGACCCCAAAACGGGGCCCAAAATATCAACAGTCTACAGGCTACAGAGTCTCACAAGCAAAAAAAAAATAAAAATAAAAAATAACAATACAAAGTCTGTCTTCGGGCTAACAGTTCTCGAAAATTAAAGTCTAATATAATGAAAGCAATAAACCTAATCTACTGAAAGCGGAACGATGGATATCCAAGCTGGTCCATCCGTACAAGCGTGCGAAGACGGAGTGGAGCAGTGTCGGTCTGAAACGTATGTGGGTCTGATATGGTGGCACCAAGGCTGACAAGGTAGTCAGCAGGTCTGTTCCCCTTACGGAAAATGTGCGTGATCCTGTGATGGACAGACCGAAGTAGAGCTCTATTGCGCATAAGCGGGTGCTGAATCTGCCACGAGCCCTGGTGGCCCGAAGTTAGGAGGATGGCGACAGCCGCAGCGTCTAGCTCGATCCAAATATGACTAGAAAGATGGACAATAATCTGAAGGCCAATTTGTAATGCCTGAATCTCTGCGTCGTAACTCGAGGAGGCCTGAAGGGGCGCGTGGAAGGCGGTGATGAGGGTGCCGCTGTGGTCCCGGATCAAGCCTCCTCCTCCGACAACTCTGGTGTGGCGATCAAAAGAGCCATCAGTGTTCAGCTTGACCCAAGAAGAGTCGGGTCGAAGCCAAACAACAACTCTGGGTCGAGGGGGCCGAACAGGCGGTGGGGAAGCCACCATGGCAGTGTGGTGGCGTGCAGCCTGTTCAGTCTCGGGCCGTGAGCCTGCCCAATGCTGTGAAGAGTGAAAGATGTCTCTGTACCTGCAAAACAATGTGAGAAAACAAAAAATTAATATCCCTATGCTTCGCACTATTCCTCTCCGTCCAGGTGAACCAAAGGATCAAACAAGGAATGAGGAAGCCCACGTGTCTAAGGTGTGTGCTCTGTAAGAAAAAACTTAGGAGCTCAAAGAAACTGTCTGTGGTGGGTAGGGATATATGGGTCCAAGTGGCAAAGTGCTCCCACACTCTCCTCACAATCTCACTCTCTAGAAAAAGGTAGGTAAAGGTCTCGGTCTCATGGCATCCAGTCTCAGAACAACACACACACACCGAGAGGGGAAGGAGATCCCCCTCGCGTGTAGCACAGTATCCACTGGTATCCAGCGGAAGAGGAGGCGCCAAAGTAACACTGAAATGGTAGAGGTGAAAAGGTCGCTCCAGATGGCCCCGAAGAGAAGATTAGGCCGATCTCTCAGCTTGATCAGCTCCCACGCCGAGGTAGTAGAAAACACACCCGATGATGTAAGTCTCCACCTCATGCCATCCGAACTGTCTCCCGAGATGGGGATATGCTGGATCTGATCTAATAAATGCTCGCTAAAACCTGCACCAGAGCCCAACTCCCTATCTAGCTTCCCCTTATCCCACGACTCGTCCGTCCAAAGGTTACTCACAAGTAGGTAGGGGAATGCGACACCTGCCTATCCCTAGACAACGGTCTATCACCTACCCATTACTCATCCCAGAAACTAACATCGCCCTCGCCCAAAACCCAGAAGATGTGATCCTGGGCGCGCCTACCGACCCTAGTGAGACGCTGCCACTGTCTGCTGTCATGATCAACAGCCGTCACTCAACAAAGGTCTCTTTAGTTGCTAGGTTAGTTCTCTGTAGTTGCTAGGTTAGTTCTCTATAGTTGCTAGGTTAGTAGTTGATAGGTTAGTTCTCTGTAGTTGCTAGGTTAGTTGTCTGTAGTTGCTAGGCTAGTTCTCTATAGTTGCTAGGTTAGTTCTATGTAGTTGCTAAGTTAGTTCTTTATAGTTGCTAGGATTTTTTTTTTTTTAAACAAACAACGCCCCAGAAGAGCGGGGGATTGGGCTGGATACCCAACCTGTGCATAGATCAAGACCCCAAAACGGGGCCCAAAATAACAACAGTCTACAGTCTACAGAGTCTCACAATCAAAACAAAAAGAAATAACAATACAAAGTCTCCCTTCGGGCTAACATGTGTCCGGGAATAAACGCCTAATCTAATGAAAGCAACAAGCCTAATCTACTGAAAGCGGAACGATGGATATCCAAACTAGTCCATCCGTACAAGCTTGCAAAGGAGGAGTGGAGCAGTGTCGGACTGAAACGTATGTGGGTCTGATATGGTGGCGCCAAGGCCGGCAAGGTAGTCAGCAGATCTGTTCCTCTCACGGAAAATGTGCATGATCCTGTGATGGACAGACCAAAGTAGAGCTCTAATGCGCATAAGCGTGTGTTGAATCTGCCACGAGCCCTGGTGTCCCGAAGTCATGAGGGTGGCGACAGCCGCAGCGTCTAGCTCGATCCAAATATGACTAGAAATGTGGACATTAATCTGAAGGTCAATCTGTAATGCCTGAATCTCTGCGTCGTAGCTCGAGAAGGCTTGAAGGGGCGCGTGGAAGGCGGTGATGAGGGCGCTGCTGTGGTCCCGGATCAAGCCTCCTCCTCCGGCAGCTCCAGTATGGCGATCAAAGGAGCCATCAGTGTTCAACTTGACCCAAGGAGAGCCGGGTCGAAGCCAAACAACAGCTCTGGGCCGGGGTGGCCGAACAGGCGGTGAGGAAGCTACCATGTAGCGGTGTGGCGGCGTGCAGCCTGTCCAGTCTCAAGCCGTGAGCCTGCCCAATGCTATGAGGAGTGAAAGATGTCTCTCTACCTGCAAAACAATGTGAGAAAACAAAAAAATAATATTCCTATGTTTCGCACTATTCCTCTCCGTCTAGGTGAACCAAAGGATCAGACAAGGAATGAGGAAGCCCACGTGTCTAAGGTGTGTGTTCTGTGAGAAAAAACTGAAGAGCTCAAAGAAACTGTCTGTGGTGGGTAGGGATATATGGGTCCAAGTGGCAAAGTGCTCCCACACTCTCCTCGCAATATCACTCTCTAGAAAAAGGTGGGTAAAGGTCTCGATCTCATGCGTCCAGTCTCAGAACAACACACACACCGACAGGGGAAGGAGATCCCCTCGCGTGTAACACTGTATCCACGGGTATCCGGCGCAAGAGGAGGCGCCAAAGGAACACCGAAATGGTAGGGGTGAAAAGGTCGCTCCAGATGGCCCCGAAGAGAAGACACACCCGATGATGAAAGTCTCCACCTCATGCCATCCGAACCGTTCCCCGAGATGGGAATCTGCTGGATCTGATCTAATAAATTCTCGCTAAAACCTTCACCAAAGCCCAACTCTCTATCAAGCTTCCCCCTATCCTACGACCCGTCTGTCCAAAGGTCACTCACAAGCAGGTAGGGGGAATGCATGATCTGCCTATCACCTAACCACCACTCATCCCAGAAACCAACCTCGCCCTCGCCCAAAACCCAGAAGATGTGATCCTGGACGCGCCTACCAACCCTAGTGAGGAGCCGCCACTGTCTGCTATCATGATCGACAACCGTCACCCAACAAGGGTGGTTGGCACGTCTAGGACAGTACTTGTCGCGAAGGTACTGAGCCCAAAGCGACTTTCCCTCCCTGAAGCGCCACCACAGCTTGTAGGAGAAAGCTGCAACAATATCCCTGAGGCGGCGCATGCCAAGGCCACCCTCAGGGAAGGGCCGGCAGATAGAGTCCCAACTCACCCAGTGGGTACGTCTCCCCCTTCCGAAACCGTCCTTGTAACCCCAGAAGTAACGAGCTATAATATGATCAATCTCGTCAAGAATAGATCTAGGGGGGTCGAGGACCATAAGCAAATGAAGCGGAAGGGTGCTCTTGATCAGCGTAAGTCGACCACCGAAAGAAAGATGTCTAGGCGACCAGCCAGAAATCCTGTCGATCATCCTCTACCTGACGTCCGCGAAGAGCGCTCTCATGAGGTTGCCCTTATATAAAGGGACACCAAGGTAGGTAATGGGAAGGTCGCCGCGCGCAAAGCCAGTAATCTCGTGGACCCGCTGAGCCCATTTGTCCGCGCTAGAAGAGGAGAGGGTGAAGGTGCTCTTCTGCACACTGACCATTTGGCCGGTAACCGAGCCATAGTGCTCTAGAAGGTGCATAAGCTCGACCAGTCCATCATCATCCGCCTGGGTGAAGATGATGATGTCATCCGCATAAGAGAGGTGCGAGATGGGAGGACCATAACCACGGGTGCTGTAGGTCATCCATGAAGAGTCGCGAATGAAGCCGTCAAGGCAGCAAGAGAGGTAGTCCGCCGCAAGAACGAATAGGGAAGGGGAAAGGGGGTCGCCCTGTCTAAGGCCTCTAGAGGAGGGGAAAAAGTCGGTGGGGTTGCCATTAACAGGACCGAGAACGTGCAGTGCTCCACACATGCCTCCACAAAACTGATCCAACGCTCAGGAAATCCCATCCTAGTCAGTGCCTCCCTCAGAAACGTCCACTCCACCCTATCATACGCCTTACCCATGTCTAGCTTCAGTGCAATATTCGGAGCTCGCTTCCAATCCGCACGGGAGAAGTCGTGGATCATCTCCTAGGCCAGAATGATGTTATCATTAATGACCCGATCTTTGACGAAGCCACTCTAGTTCGGAGAGATGAGGGAGG